TTTTTTTTTTTTGCAGAACCGGGGATTGAACTCAGTCAGGCCCTTGTGCTTGTCACGGAAGCACTTATTCTACTGGGCCATCTCCCTGGCCCCCGAAGAATTGGTCAAGACAGGTAGTGAAGTTTTGTTTTTGTTTTTTTGGTGGAACCAGGGATTGAACTCAGGCCCTTGCACTTGCCAGGCTAGTGCTTATTCTACTGAGCCATCTCCCTGACCCCTACTAAAGAAATTTCTGAGGAACTTTTTTTTTTTCCAGAACTGGGATTTGAACTCAGGCCCGTGTGCTTGCCAGGCAAGAGCTTATTCTATTGAGCCACCTCCCCAGTCCCTTTTTTTAGAGCTTTCTTTTTTTAAATTTTATTTTTTTTTAAATTTCTGAGGAAAAGGAAATGTTCTGTATCTTTATTATGGCATGGATAATACAGGTATGTACATGTCAAAAATTTTTAAATTTAGGCATACATAATATATTTCTGTAATCTTAGCATCTGAGAAGCTGAGACAGAAGAATTACAAGTTCAAAATCAGGCAGGGCAACTTAAGAGACTTAGTAAGATCCTATCTTAAAATAAAAGGGGGCTGAGAGGGTGGGAATGTAATTCAGTAAGAAGGCCTTGGGTGTTTGACCCTGCCATACACAAAAAAATCATCAAACATATCATCTATGCATTTCATTACATTTAAGCAATACCTCCAAAAAGGGTATACACATTTTAGCCCACACCCAATTTTGTTCTTGATTTTATAATTTTGTGTCCAATTTTAGTTTGGATATAAATTGATCAAAAACTTGTTCAAAAGAAAAGAATAATCTTCCTAGGACAAAACATTTGAATTGTCAAGCAGATAGGGCTGAGTAGCAGAGTGCATGCCCAGCATGTATAGGGCCCTAGGTTCACTTCCCATAACCAGGAGATGGGTTTAAAAAAAGCAGGAAATAAGTATTTAAACACTCACAAATAATGAAAGAGCGATGACAGTATAGACTCATTAAGAGTGGCATTTTAATTTCTTATATTTGAGAAGACCTAACCTTTGGAAGGTACTTGTGGTACTGCCTTCTAAGTGAGGAATTTGGTGGTCGCTTAAAATCTATGCTTTCACCTTCCAAATCACATGAATCCATATTTCACCACATATAGAAATCTTATGTATGAAACACCAAAAGGATTACTAATTATGTTGAGGCAAAATTACCCTATTTCAACATTTAGTCACCAATAAATGGACAACTGTACTTACCAATATAATTTACACAATCAGACAAACTTCTAGAAGCAAATGGCCCTTCATATACAGTCTTGCTCTTATCAAACAAATAAACCATATAGCTATCACAGCCTCTCTGAAAAGAAATGAACAATTCAAATACTGCTCAAAGCATTTTAAAAATTCTAGGTTTTCTAAATATTTAACGACTAGATGTCCTTTCAAATGCAAATGAATGAACTCAATGTGCATTAACAGACACTGCACAGATTTAGGGTCTAAATTTTCATTACTGAGAAAAAACCATAAGACTAAAGTGGAAAACAAAAATATGATGTTTAATGAAAAAAATTAGGCATACAATGCTATATACTATAGTATTCTATTGTGTGAATGTTCCCAAAAGACAAATATATGAAAACAGAAAGATTAGTGGTTGCACATATTGCATAGGGTGGGCAGAGGGATTAACAGTTAATAGACATTAGGGATCTTACTGATACAGAAATATTTTTAAACTGACTTAAATCTATTTTTAAAAACCTCCATAAAACTGTACATATGACATGCATGAATCATATGTAAAATATGCTTCTGTCACACATAAAAAAATTGAAAATACAAGTCATGATCACAACTGTACTTAAACTTGTGACAGGGCCAATGAAACCATTCGTCTAATTTCAAGGTTCTAGGCTTCAGTTATGAGAAGGAAAAGAAAGTAGAATAGAATTGGCATCAAAGACAAAGTCTTACAAAGTTCAAGAAACAAAATATGCTATTTTTATCCTGTTTAGCCTGCAAAGCAATGATAAAGCCACCAGTGAGGCAAAATTAAAAGAATTATTTTAAGATCTAAACTACACCTCCCAAGGGATTCCACGTATGTATTTAAAAATGTATGGCAGGAGACCTGCCCATTAGCTCAGGTGTTTAAGTGCCTGTTGAAATAAAGCAGTCAGGCTCAGGATGCTGTGGTTCGATTCCTCCATCCTCAAGCCAAACCAGACCTGCCCTGAAGGCAACCTGAGCGGCCCAAATAAATAAATAAACAAATAAATTTTAAAAAATGTAGGGCATACAACAATTCTATATAGATTTCTTATCAGATTCTAGGTATACTAGAACTTAAAACCCTTTCTATACAGCCCTGTAGGGTGACTGTAGTGTACAATAATTACTTATACACTTCAAATTAACTAAAGGAAAAGGAGTTTGAAGGTTCCTAACATTGAGATTATATTTGAAAAAATGGAAATGCCAATAATACTGATTTGATCACGGCACCTTATAGTATGTATTGAACTATAATACTGTGTCCCTTAAGTAAGTACAAATATTACATCAATAAAAAATAACAAAACAATTCTTACAACTCCATCTAGAACACATTGAGAAGCTGGTTTCCGAGGATCCAGAGAAATTCCTGTCTCTGAGAGAAGTTCTTGAGAACCTGTATTTATTCCAGTTTCACGCTCGATACGAGACTGCAGTGAATGAAGACTTTCATCAGGTGGTAACAGAAAAGAAATTATCTTCGCAGAAGTCATATTTAGGATGTGTACTATCTGTATGAATAAGAAGAAGATAAATTTATTGATCATTTACTAATTGATTACAAAGCAGTCTAAAGCACCTGCTTACGCAAGCTTAGGCAAAGTGTGGGGACCATGTGATACCTGGCACAGCATGCCACAGACACACACACACACACACACACACACACACACACACACACACACAAAAGGCAATCATGTTGGCTGGCCAAATAGCTCAGCAGATTAAAGTGCATGCTTAGGCAGATGCAGGAACTGGATTCCCTGGCCATGCCGGCTCTGTCCCTAGAACGTGCTGAGAGGGCAACTGAGACGGCATGGCGCCTGTAATCCCAGCACTTGGGAGGCTGAAACAGGTGGATCACTATGAGTCCAATCTGTGTAGTAAGACCCTGTACTAAATACATCAAAAAAAAAAAAAAAAAAAAAAAAGGCAATGAAATCACAGAGCAGTGATCTGCCTAAATGTTTAAAGTTAGACAACAAAACAGTTTTATTACTTCCACCTGAAGTTTCAGTAAAAATAGCCCAATACAGGTCAACCGAGTGTGAGACTGTGCAGGAGACACTTCTAGATCCTTGTCTTGGTCCAAGGAGCCAATATTTGTAATCCCAAAGTTATGTTACTGGAATCCCATCCAGTTGATTCCAATCTACCACTTTCAATGCAACCCACAGTGAAAATAAAGACACTAAATTATATTTTTAATCATCGGGGAGTCAAGGAGCTCCAAGTCCAGCCACGAAGATAGCTTTCCGGATCCAAGAGAGCAACCCAGGGCCTCATCTGGTTTTATTCAGTGGAGGAGTGGCTTGAAGAGGATTGACTGAGAATTGTGGGAAGTAGGTGACTACTGTGAGCTGAGCTAGATGGGTGGCCTAAATTTACCTCTGTGATATGCAGAGAGGATATGCAGAGAGAGTAATCTGCATTATACTCTTATGCAATAGAGATAGTTATCTACTGCTTTGGGAAGTCTGGTGCTTTAGCTCTGTTGTGGTCTTTCAAGCCCCAGGAAGTCATAGCCTCTATCCTGAGGCTCAATCCCAGCTGGCGGCATTAGCTCTACCATCCTGTCTCGACCCAACTCACATTAAAGAGCAGCAGGTATAGGTTACCAGGGAAACATGCACATCACCTTCAAAGACTATCACCAGCACCTCAGCTAGACCAACATACATTGCTTAAGGCCAACTGAAGCCTAAACAGAAGTCCTAGCCAGCTCTGTACATAATGATACGAGGAAATAGGGTCAGGCTCAGTCAAAATGGAGACAGTCGCTCTTCTTTCAAGGAGAGCTGTTCAGGTGGTCCTCCACAAAACTGAGTAAAGTGAGGCTCTGTCCAGGTAACCACAGATAGACACAGAGCAGAGGCATAAATGGCAGATTACAATTACAGAATCCACAAAATATGACTGATATATTGTGTGGCAGACAGCATGCAAAGAAAAAGCAAACTGAAGAGTGGCCAAGGGGATATACAGATACGGACACCATTCTGGGCAGAAACACAGCGTCGGTCAAAACAGATAATGGCTTGGTGGCCTGAGGAACAGCACAAAGCTTGTCCTGAGTGAGGTAACAGCCAAGAGAAGTAGGTATAAGGCATGTATTTGGTTGGTGGACCTACATTAAAAAACACTGAAAAAACCAAACAGACAAGCATATCAGTTTAAATGCGACTTAATAAGCAAAACAAAACCTCCCAACCTCTCCAACAAACTCTGTTAATTTCCTGGACCTCAAATATGCCTGATTTCTTGTAATCTCAGGAGATGATAAAGGGCAGTTTATATTGCATAGACTACAGGATGAAGAGATGTAGAGATATGAAAGTTAGAAAAGAATCTTGTTGTTTTGGCAGTTGGCCTTAAATGAAGGGGAACTCACTTTGCAGGCTCCCTCTGTCTCTCTCAGAGAAAAGCTTTCTTTCTCTTGATAAATTCTTCCTATTCTTAAAGAAAAAAATCTAAATGCATGAGGTATGAATGATACCAACAAGGGAAGAAAAAAAATAAAAGATGCTTTAAAAGGAATTATCAACAAAGGCCTCTTTGAAGCAAACTAAAATAGAAGAGTTGGGCTGGGAATATAGCTTAGTGGCACAGGGCCTGTTTGGCAAGTATAAGGTCTTGAATTCTATTTCTGGTACCCCCCGCCCCCCAAAATAGAAAAACATCAGCTCCAAAAATGTAATTTTCTTTTTCAAATAAATACCATGAAAAGATTATTAAAATATATGTATGCTCGGTTTTCAAGTAAACTTGCTAACTTCAATGTAGGTTTTAAAATATACTTCACTGAAACTAACCTTCAAATTCAGAATGTGATCCATTAATACAAAACATCTTGGTTGGTTTAAAGTGAGGTCAACAGGTCCCCCTCTCTGCTGTGGATCCCAATTCAACATCAACTGCAGCCAGTTTTCCATAGGCTCTACTATCAAACTAGAAAATGCACATAAATAGAGGGAATATAGTTATGGTCCAATTTTCCTTTAGTCTTACCTTAAAAAACAATTTTATAGGCTGCCCATTCCTTTCCCCACCACTTATTTACACTATTTCAATACCTTCTTTGGGATAATTCATGAAATGATGGAAGGCAAACTTCCTTCCATAAGAAAATAGGTCCAAAGCCTACATATGTAAGTTTAATAATGGCAACTCCAATAGACAGGTCTAATCCTTTTTCAGGAACCTATTCACCAAGTCTTTTTAGCATCTAAGCCAATCCTCTGAATAGCAATGGTTCTTGGTTCCATTAATATCTGTACTGTCTAATGTGATAGTTACTAGTGACAATGTTATTTACATTTACTATTTACTTAAATTGCAACTCCTTGGTCATATTAGCTAATTTCTAGGTTTATATTTATTTATTTATGTATTTATTTGGTTGTTGTTGTTTTGGCAGTTCTAAACAATTTAGGCATATTTAGGCAATGTTCTAGCAGCAGACTAAGCTCTCAGCCCCTCTGAACACTTTTCAAGTGTTATAAAAGCTCAATGTGGGGCCGGGGAGATGGCTCAATAGAATAAGCACTTGTCTGGCAAGCGCAACAGCCTGAGTTCAATCCCCAGTTCTGCCAAAAAAAAAAAAAAAAAGCTCAATAAACTGTGTGATCAATGGAGATAACAGAATATTTTCACCATGACAGAAAGCGACACTGGATAATGCTACTTGAAACAGCAACTACATTATTATTTTTTTACAACTCCGAACAAACGCAGGCAAACTTTCTCAACTAAAATGTACTTACCTACAAAGGCTGTTTGGCTGAGGTAAATGGCTACTAAACCGAACTTCTCCTGTCATCTCTTCACATGCAAATATACATTTTGGGTCCTTCTTCTTAATTTTTTCATGCCTATAAAAACAAAAGATACCTCAGTCAAAAATCTGATTCTCACAAACACTCTAAGATTTCAAGCCATTTTGTTATTCAATTCTGATTTTAAAATGTAATTATAAAATAAATTAAAAAAGAGAAAATTTTCATTCACATTAAGCACATTAAAGTTCTCATCTATGACTTACCAGGTAAATGGCTGCAGATGATGCAAAAAAGGCCTATACCCAGCAATACATTCAAACACCATTGTCCCAAAACTCCAATAATCAACAGTGGCTGTATAAGGCTTATTCTCAAAGAGTTCTGGGGCCTTAAAAAAGGAAAGAAAATGCTTTAAATGTCAATACTGTAAGGGAAAGGCTACTTTATTTTTGAAATACTGCATATATGACCTTCATAAATAAGAATCTCATACACTTAAATTCAAAGAAATACATATCTCACCAGATATTGCAGTGTTCCTACAAAAGATGTACAGAGACTTCCTTGTTCAACATCTTTAGCATATCCTAGATCAATTATTTTGTGCATTATCTGCAAAACAGTAAGAAAAAAAAAGTATTAAATGGTTGAATTACTGGAGTACAAAGGCAACAACATCCTTATAAGATGGTAGATAGGCTGGTAATAAATGGTTGAGCTCTAGGGCTGGCCTGATAGCTCAGCGGACTAAAGCACCTGCTTAAGCATAGCCCAGTGGCGTGTTCAATCCCCGGTGTGCCATGCCGGTCCCGCCTGCAGAGCAGCTTGAGATGGCAAATGAGACTGGGAGTGGTGACTTCCTGTAATCCTAGTACTTGGAAGGCTGAAAACAGAGGAGAATTACTATGTGTCTGATCTATGTAGTGAGACCCTATAGACCCTATCCTAAATACAGAAAACAACAACAACAAAAGTTCAATTCTGAATTAACAATTTTTTCCAAGGCTGAACTCTATCACTTAACTAGCCACATGCTCTTGATCAAATTATTTAACCTCTTCAAGTTTCTTATATAATTAGATAACTAACAATCCCCACTTATAGAATATTTTCAAGACTCAAGAAAATAATGGAAGAACTTAATATAGTGCCTGATACATAGTAAAAAATAAATATAGCTTGACTAGTAATTTTTTATTTTAGTACATTCTTCATAAACTCAATCCATTTTTTTTTTTTTTTAAATGTATGTATTTGGTACAGGGTCTCACTATGCAGCTCAGACTCGTAGGGATCCTCCTATTTTCAGCCTCCCCAGCATTGGGATTACAGACATAAGCTACCATGTCCAGACTCAGTCACCTGGCCTGGGGGCAAGGCCAGTGCAGCATGTGGTACAGGGGATCAAACCCCTGTCCCTGTGCTTGCCTAGGGAGGTGTTTAGTCTGCTGAGCTATTTTTCAGGCCATAACTCAATCCTTTCAACTGGAAGGCAAAGGCTGATTTCCGAACTTGAAGGAGTATATACTATAGAAAGGATTAAATGTGAATCAGCACCCATGTAAAGTCAAGTATGCTCTTAAGCCTTCAGATAAGAAAAAGAGTAGCAAGCAAAGATAACTGGTGCAAAGTACACACAAAACGCCCCCCTGAGAAGCATCTTCATCCAAGTGCCATCATTTCCAATTGAAAAATTATCTTCATTAAGAGTTAGCACATCAGGCTGGTGAGATGGCTCAGTGGTCTAAAGCACCTATTTAGAACAAGCTAAGCTAAGCAAAGCACAGAGACCGCGGTTCAATCCCCAGCACCACATGCCAGCCAGCCCTGCCCCCGGGTGGGCTGAGCTGGCCACACACACACACACACACACACACAAAATAAATAAATAAACAAATAAAGAAGTTGATTGGGGCAATCAGAGATAAGCTAGTATTTGCCTGGGAACTAAAAAAAAAAAAAAGAGTTAGCACATAATCCAATGTAAGTTTAGGCTCATGGTTTTAAATCTTCATTGGAATGAAACTTAGATGCTAGAAACAAAAAAAAGTGCTCAAATTACTCTGATGAAAATAAATATATTAAATACCAATTTATAATTTCTATTTCTGAAGATGATCTATTTAGGAATCTGGTAAATCAAGGTTTCAAGTCTTAATGGAATATAAAATTTAGGATTTAAAATAAAGAAAATGGGTTTTAAGGAAATGTACTATTTTTTCTTAAAGTAAAACAGGCCCAGGGTGTGTGTTTATGTGTTTTAGATGTGCTTCATAGCAGTAAAAATTAAGACTGATACATTATTTAGTCACTGCCTACTATCTCTGCTACACAGGCTGCTGGAAAACACATGAGCACAACAGGTGCAGCTTTTGCTCTACTGCAGCCACTAACCACAGAACTACGGCTGAATGTGGTGAGGACTGGAACAGAAAACATGTACAAATGCTCTATGATGAATATGAGCAGGGTGTACATCTAAAATGTACCAACAAAATCTGATTTTAAAAAAGCAAAGAGAAAGAGCAGAGTGTTATGGGTACACAGCGAGGACACCAAAGCTTAAAAATTACATCAAGGACACTACACAATAGGCACAGTACATTTCTTGAGGTTTGCCTACCTTTCCACCAACATCCTGAAGAACTATATTTTCAGGTTTTAGGTCTCGATGTATAATTTTATTTTCATGCAAATATCGAATCCCAGACCCTAAATAAAGTTTAAAGAAAGCATTTTGAAGAGAAAATATTGAATTTAAAGAAATCCATATTGCATTTTATACAGATCTGTACTAATGCTCCAAATTATATCAACCATCAAAACTTCTCAATGATTATTGCAACAGATCAAGTTTTCTGGACAGAAAATACAGCAACACTAGGCACACAATGCAATTACAATACATGTTCATTTAATTTATTGGAATTAACATTAAGGGGCTGGGGAGATGGCTCAGTGGAATAAGCACTTCCCTGGCAAGCACAAGGTTCTGAGTTCAACCCCGGGTTCTGCCAAACAAAAAAACAGAATTAACATTAAAAAGAAATGGAGGGCTGGGGAGATGGCTCAGTGGAATAAGCGCTTCCCTGGCAAGCGCAAGGGCGAGCTCAATCCACGGTTCCGCCAAAAAAAAAAAAAAAAAAAAAAAAAAGAAATGGGAAGAAAACTCCTCTAACCCTTAAGACCTTTTTCTCCTACCCTAAATCTCCTTTTCAACTAGACTTCAGCCCTTATGATCGAGGGAAAAAAAGCAAAACCAAAACATGTAAGAAAACCGATTAGCTTTTGAGTATCCTCCAAGGGCCTAGGTTTTGTTATCTCAGGGATTTTTCAGAAATAGTTCTGACTAAACACAGAATTTTACTCTTAAGAATTAACTTGAGGACTTATCCCCTAAAGAGATTCAATTTTGTGCTGAACAAAATTACTATGTTAATTGAAGATGTAAGGAGTAAAACTATTTTTTATCTGTACTTGGGAGATATATTAGGCAAATAATTTTTAGCTGAAACCAAACACTACATAGCAAGATACTCCAGTTTTAATTTAGAGTGAATAGTAATAAATTTTTAATTTTTAAAAAATTTATTGGATACAGGGTCTCACTACGTAGCTCAGACTCATAGTGACCCTCCTGTCTCAGCCTCCCCAGCACTGGGATTACAGGTGTGTTCCCAGGGTTCCAGGGCTGGCAGGGCAGGTGGTACTGGGGATTGAACCCAGATCCTTGCACTTGCCAGGCAGGCAGTTAGACCACCAAGCTATCTCCCCAGCCCTATAATTTCTTGTAAGTGTTAGATATTTATATAGCTTGCATAATACATTAACAATTATCCTTAATTCCTAAGCAGAACACAGAATCTTTTATACATAAAAGGGCATTAAGTCACCATGGTATTTTTAAATATTGATCACATACCTATATCACTTAGTAAAGAAAGTATCTGGCTTTCTTTAAGTCCACAACAATTTTCTGGTTTGTTGAGTAGCTAAAGGAAAAAACAAAAAGAAGTCTAAAAATGTGTACTACAAATTGCTAGATAGCAATGGCAATACATATAAATTACTGTAAGAGTGTATTGAAATGAGGAAAAAAAAAAAGTCATGATAAAAAGTATACAAAGGTGGGCTGGGGAAGCACAAGGTCCACAGTTTGATCACCAGTACTTAAAAAAAAAAAAAAAAAAGTATATGAAAGGGAGAAAAAAAATCACCAAATATAAGTTTTATGACAAAACTCACAAAAGTAAAGGTAAAGGTGCGAAACTATTTGAAATTTATATTGAAAAAGGTTGACAAATCTCACAGAGATATATCTACACACAAATAGTCATATGGACAAATTTAAAATGAGTTAGAAAGAAAGCATGCAATAGAAAAGGCATTTTTTTTTTTTTGTCACTATTTTGTATTTTTAAAATAAGGTCTCACTATATAGCCCAAGCTGGCTCTAAAATCACAGCAATCCTCCTGCCTCAGTGCCAGGATTACAGGCTTGTACCACCATGCCCAGCTGAAAATGTGATCTTTTTAAAAGCACCTTAAACACTGATATTTTGATTAGCTAAAGGAAAAAAAAATAAAAGAAGTCTAAAAATGTGTGCCACAAATTGCTGGGCAGCAATAGCAATACATATTAATTACTGTGAGAGAATACTGAAGGGCTGGCCAAATAGCTCAGGGGATTAAAGCGCCTGCTTAGGCAGATGCAAGGTCCAGGGTTTGATCCCTGGTGTGCCATGCCAGCCCTGCCCACGCGGTGTGCTGAGACAGTGATTGAGACTGGGCATGGTGGCCTGCACCCGTAATCCCAGAGCTTGGGAGGCTGAAAAAACAGGAGGATCACTATGAGTCTGATCTGTGTAGCGAGACCCTGTAGACCCTGTACTGAGTACATTAAAAAAAAAAAAGAGAGAATACTAAAATGAGGGAAAAAGTCTAATTTTGCAAACAACCAAAAAAAAAAAAGCACATTCTAAATCAGGGGTCAAAAAGTATTTTCTATACAATGACAGTAAATGCTTTACTCTGAAAGAACTACTGAATTCCAGTCACAAACATAAGCATGGCTGTCTTCTAATAAAACTTTACTTACAAAATAGATAGCAGACCATAGTTTTCTGATTCTTTTTATAGATTAGCGCAAAGAATTTGATCTAAAAATGCTCAGGTTTACTATCTTATTATTGCAAAGTATCCACACTACCTTCCGGAGATCTCCTCCAGAACAGTATTCCATTGCTAGAAGAGGCACATCATTAATTAAAAAATTCAGTTCCTCAGGAACATCACAGGCCTTTACAACATTGGCATGGTTCAACCTAACAAGAAGAAAAAGACATTATAAAGGAACTAGATTTGAAATGGTAGTTAATTGGGGGTTAGGGAGTAACACGGGAACACTAGTATTTTATAAAATTTTTTTAAAAAAAAATTATTTGTGTGTGTGTGTGTGTGTGTGTGTGTGGCCAGCTCAGCCCACCAGGGGGCGGGGCTGGCTGGCATGTGGTGCTGGGGGATTGAACCGTGGTCCCTGTGCTTTGCTAAGCTTGTTCTAAGTAGGTGCTTTAGACCACTGAGCCATCTCACCAGCCCCTATAAAATTCTAATGTGTGACTTGTGAAACTAAAAATCAGTAATTTTTAGAAAGGAAATGCATGTTAAAAATATCATCATTATTACTACTATTAGATTTCTGGGTCAATTAGCAAGGACTTTAAATACTTTAACTCATTTGTCACAATACTACTAATAAAAGTAGATTTAGTGAGTTTCATAAAACAGGAAAAAACTGAAGCACAAACTGGTTAAATAACAAGCTTGTAACAGCAAGTAGGTTGTCATAAGAATTCAAATTTGGTAGCCTGGTTTCAAAGCTTGTGCATTGGTACCTATGGCCCGTGTGCTGCAGTGGGCACAAGGATCCTGCTGTCAGCGCATGAACTAAGCCACTGCAGCAATGCCCGAGCAGCTAAGTATTAAGTTTTAATTGCAGTGTTGCCACTTTGTGATAATGAAGTGCGTTTTGGGTTGCAGTTTAGAGATTTGATCTCTAAAAGGTTTATCATCACCGGCCTCTATCATACTACCTCTCAAATGATCGCTTACAAGGTCACCCCAGTGGTGAATATTAATAAAATTTTGGCCTATTTCCTTCTAGCTTTAAGCACAAAGTTTTCAGTAAATGCTGAATCATACAATATACTAATCGTTCTTTTTGTTTTCTTATTAATAATCTGTCATCATGCTCAACTGGTATAGATTTCCTATTTATTTATTTATTTATTTATTTATTGGTGGAACCGGGGATTGAACTCGGGCCCTTGCGCTTGCCAGGGAAGCACTTATTCCACTGAGCCATCTCCCCAGCCCCTAGATTTCCAATTCTAAGACCTACATAAACAGAACCCCCAAATGGAGAGCCTGAGAACTTATATTATGCTTTCTTGATTCTGCTATACAGTCAAGTTTGAGAACTATAAAATTGAACTGAGCATAACACAGAGTCAGAAAGTACTCATTTCAAGCCTAGACTCTACTACCAGCTGTGGGACTGTATGAGTGCTAGCTCAGCCATACACAAAATAGGGATAATTCCTAAACACAGGGCTATAATGACAACTAGAAAAATGAATTACAGTTACACTATCAGTAGAAGCCTACTGCCTGTGAAAGTTTAAAATATGTATACCTCTCCCTTTAAGAGCTTCTTTTCTTCCTGAATATATGATATAACCAATGACTCATTTCTCTTTTTGTTTTTGAAACAGTGTCTTGATAGGTAGTCTTGATAGGCCTTAAACTCATATGTAGTCCAAGCGGGTCTCCAACTCACAGCAATCCTTCTGCCTCAGCTTTGTGAGTGCTGGGATTACAGCAGTGTGCCACCATCCCTGGTTAGTGAATCATTTCTAGTAAACAGATTTTGGTGGAAAGAATGAAGTGGGGTGGAAAGGATGAAGTGTGACTTCCGAAGATACTTCATAACACGTATGTCAACCATCATCTTGTTTTCTCTTTCACAAATCTCTGAAGAAGCTAGCTGCCATGTCACTAAGAGTTCAAGTTTCCCTATGGAGGCCCACATGGTGAGGAATTGATGCCTTTCACTAAAAGCCACATAAGTGGGCCTGAAGTAACCGTATCATCCCTGGTCAAGCCTTTGGAACAGTGCAACTCTGGCCAACAATTAGAGATATCTCAGGAAAGACCCTGAACTTCTTAGAAACACACAGCTAAGCAAGTCTCAAATTACTAAGGCACAAAAAGCATAGACAGTGAATGTTTACAGTTTTAAGCCACTGAATTTTTATAAAGCAATAGGATTATTTAACACAAGTAGAGGGGCTGGTGAGATGGCTCAGTGGTCTAAAGC